TTGTCTAGTTGCGAGTAGAAGGACTATATCATGAGCCCTAAAAGCATATACTTGGTCCCAGTGGGTTACTGAACAGCCTAGGCCTTCTGCACAGCTGGCACCAACCTGAGTTGTCGTTCGTGTCCTTCTATCCACAGGTGACCGTAGCCGTAGTCCTCATCAGGCGTTTTCCTAGATCGACCAGCGTTCATGCATGTTTGAGCGTAGGCGCCACCATCGTGAGTGGATGCGTGGCGGAGCGTGTCAAGAGTCCCACCTACGCTTTCTTTGCCTTCTGCATGACCAGCTTTATCTACCCAGTTGTTGTCGCATGGACCTGGGGTGGCGGCTGGCTCGCCAGCATTTTTGATGTGGGATACATGGACTTCGCGGGCTCAGGCGGACCAAAACGAACTATTGAAACACACCACTCGTAGGGATATTTATGTATTTCATCAAACGGCTTCTGTGTGTGCTTTTTTCGGCTGCTGCAGGTGTTGTCCATTTCACAGGGGGTGTTTGCGGCCTCGCTGGCACAGTCATCCTTGGCCCCCGGAGAGGACGCTTCGAGAATCCCGAGGAGTTCGAGTATCACAACATCCCACTGAGACCTGCCGGCACTTTTTACCACAGCCGCAGAAATAATCATGTGCGATCTTTACACGTGTGTATGATGTATGTGCATGTTTTTAAGTTACTGATGTGAAATTATAATATAGACATTTGTATGTGTTTTCAACGAAATGTCAGAAGAGGGAACAACTAAGGGTCGTGCTCGGAACCTTCGCGCTTTGGTTCGGCTGGTATGGCTTCAACCCAGGATCCACCCTCTCGATGCACGATAAGGAGATGGGTGCCCTCGCAGCACAAGTGGCCATGAACACCACTCTTTCCGCCGCCACCTGTGGGATCACCGTGTTCCTGCTGAAGTTCGTGCTCGTGCGCAAGTACGATGTCGGCGCGCTTTGTAACGGAATTCTTTCGGGCTTGGTCTCCATCACTGCGGGCTGCGGAAACATGGAGTGCGGCAGTGCTGTTCTCACCGGCTTCATTGGTGCTTTCTTCTACCAGGCGGCGTCCAGTCTCCTTGTGAGACTGAAGATCGACGACCCCGTGGATGCCAGCGCAGTGCACGGAGCCTGCGGCGTCTGGGGGCTTCTCGCCGCTGGTCTCTTCGATTGGGGGAAGGGCTTTGACCACTATCACGGCTGGAGCGGTTTCGGCTGCATGGCCGGCGACGATGGTGCATGCCGCAAGGGCTTGGGAGGCGCCGCCATTGGAGCACAGATTGTCATGATTCTGGCCATCATCGCATGGGCAGGTACGCTGTCCACGCTGTCCTTCCTGGTCCTGAAGTTTTCGGGACTTCTTCGGATTGGCGAAAACATTGAGAAGGTCGGCTACGACATGCACTCGCACTCTCCGCCCAAGGCCTACGCGTTCAATGGCCATGACCCAAAATCATCATCGAGCGAGGAATCGGGGTCGGAGGGGTGCCTGTGAGTGGGACCAGAGGCAGTGAAGCCAATCGCGGCTAGCGGCTAGCTCGTTTGGAGCCCATGGGCGTGATTTTGAGACTTTGCATCAGGTGAGACTGTGTACAGGCTCCTGGTGGCTTTTAATCAGTGGTCGATGAGTCAGTGGCGTGCGGTCCATCACGCGGTCACTGCGCTAAGGGTGCACATAAGTGGCATCATTTCCAGACCAGATCTGTCCATAGCAGCCTGGATCGGACTCTAAAGGCCTTTTTCTGCCGTCGCTGCTGGCCCCCCCTCATCATTTGATGTGGGCCTCGGTTTGCTCAATGTTTTGTGTCTTCTGCATGGTTTGTGTCGGACAGTCGCCCACTGCGAGGTTTTGCAGCGGGAGCAGCCGCCAACTCCTGGAACCTCGCACGAAAGGTTTGGATTGCGGCAGAGGTGCCCAAGCAGGCAGGGGGGTTGCCTTGACCATTTGGTTTCAGGCCATGGTCGAAGCCACAGAGCCACAGTCCACAATCCTGCATTCGTTTGCGATGCTTGTCCGGGTTTCTCCGGCTCATCCACAGTGAGCTGGAGAAGAGCAGGTTCGCGGGCGCATTACTGGAACTTTGACTGGCATGAGTCGGTGGGCTGGGCTTTTTGGTGCGTGCCTTGCTCCGCATCTAGGGCAGGTAGTCCAGCACACCACCCTGAACTGCTCGTCCAGGTTCCGTTGTCCCACTGGTGTTTGGCTGTCTTGCTACCGTTTTACTCATCTTCTGCGCTGCGCCCGAAGACCTCATAACCCTTCGGCGCGACCGTGACAGCCACGTGACCTCGCAGCAGCTCGACGCACGGACAGACGTGATCTCGTACTGTTGTGATTGCAGCAACCCTCGTAGCCCCTACTTTTTGACTCCAATTGATCGCCTCTGCAGCTATTGTTTCGTGCTCTGCGTGCTGCTTGTTTGGATGGAGTTGGATCTGTGTTTAGGGTTTTAGGTTGTCCATTCGTGGGTGCCTCAGCTCAAGGATTGACCCACAACGAATTAAGTGGCCTCGTGTATCATACTTTACGTCATTAGACAGCCATCGATCCCAACATGCTTTGCAACGACATGGTCAGCGGGGAGCCAAGCCAGTCAGGTTGTTGGGAGGTGTCGTTGCGGAGATCAACACTCGAGACATCTTTCTCCTGCAAGCAGCCTTCTCCTCCTCTGCGCTAGCGGCTGCTCGGGATCAAGTCGTTCTCAGTTATCAATCCTCCAGTCTGCCTTTTCCTGTTCGATTGATGCAAGGTTCTCCTGGCGTACCAGCAATGCCAAAATCGGGAGCTTTCGGAAGACACGGGCCGAAAGTCTGCCCGTGAGAAGCTTGCTCAACAGGCGCCAGCTCGGAAGTCATCGGATGCAGCAGGGCAAGTCTCTGCGATCTGCTGGGTAGAGAAGCCTTCCACTGCTGCATGGACTGTCTCTGTGCACCGGCATCGGCAGCAAGGGATGTCGGAATCATGACACTCATGGCACCGAAATGCTGAGAGAAAGACCTTTGCCCCGTGCTGGTCCAGAGGAGCCGGCGCATTCCATCGCGGAAGTTCTTCACGCATCCTTTTATGGGCTTTGGACTGCAGGTCCCTTGCTATGCAGGTGGAGAATTGATTTGTCGCAAACCTAGACTGAGCCAGACGGTCAGACGAGACTACTGCACATCGAGGCACTTATGCGCTGATGCTGAACGGCTGTCGGCAGACTTGGCTCATTCTGCTCCCCATGCAGGGCCGTGAGGCTGGCCTAAGCAAAGCAACCATTGGTGGCCTCGTGGCGGCTGGCAAGTTTGTAGATGGGCTCGTGGGCATGACAATCAGTGGAAGCTCGGTCGTCAACTTTTATCGGCATATGTACTTATATTATCTTCTGGGCATGCAAACATCCCAACTCTCGAAAAAGCAAGCGGCAAATTAAAGCGGTAGATGCTCTAGCCAGAGACGTTACTGAACTGGTAAGGGGAGCTCATGGACCGTTGGGGACGGCGCAGCGTTGGCGCCCCGGCGATGATCATCATCTCCCTGGCGTACTGGCTCTCGGCCACGGCTTCGGGATGACAGGGCCTCGGTGGGAGCTGGGGAGCTGCCTCCTTGCGATTATTGTTCGTACTGGTAGGAGCAGCAGCGACGGAAGCAGGAGAAGTTGTGGTACTGTGGTTGCAGCAGCAGGTGGTCGTTTCGAAGTCGTGCGAAGGAGGCAACAGTTTGTGAGATGTAACAGTGGTGGTCGGCGTCGTTGGCAGCAGCACAGCGAGGAGCAACAGTAGGAGGAGTAGCAGTGGTGGCGGCATCGGGCTTGTCCCAGCTTATACAACAGGGTTTAGGGGTATATGATACTATAGCTGAGAAAAGGAAGCCTCATGCAGGAGTTGTATGTCTAGTATGTATTGTCAAGTTCGTGAGACGCAGGCTGGGGCATCTTCGGTGCCTCGCTACTCTTCGGCCTGGGCAACGGTCTGCACCTGGCTTCAAACTGTAGAAAACTGTATGGCCAGGTTATTTTGAGGGTTCGGTTGTGGCACATGACCCGTCTTTCCGATGCTTATGATTATGATGTGTCACAGGAGTGGGCGAGTGTGGCGGATAGTGTGGGGGTGTGCTCCTTTCGTCTGGCAAGATGGCTCGGCATCGTTGCAAGCCAGGACCGGTGGAATTGCCAGCACACTCTCGGCGGATTTGGCACCCAGCTGGGCACGGGCACAGCCTGCGCCTCAAGCTTCAGGCCACAGCGTCCTGCTCCACATAGGGAGACCCAGCCCTGATCGAGGTTCATGGGCCTGTGGAAAATGGTGACGTCCAATGGAAGCCCCGAGGTTGATTTCAACCTTGTGCAACAGCGATGATGCATCTTTTGTGTATCCGAGGCCTCCTTTTCCCAATGCTCTTCGGGCTTCTAGCGAGTCAGCTGCACTCCTTGGACAAGGCTACGTACCTGCTCCAGCTGCCACTCGGCGAACGCAGTTGCATATTCCTTCAGGGTTGCGGCGGTTCCAGGTTCTGTGAAAGCTGCTGTTAACCCACGCATGCGCTGGACGAATCTCTAGCTCATGCTTGAGCTGCCGGGCCAGGGCAGTGGAGCATGTTGCATCAGTAAGATAGCACAAATTCAGTATGTATGCAAGTCCCGACATCTACATGTATTGCGAGCAGCCCTAGTTACTAGTTACGGAGGAGCATAGCATAGAGGTTGCAATTCGGACTTTCAGAACAGCAGATGGGGAACGGCCTTCCAAGATTGAGGCATGGCTGCCACCTGATGTAGCTAGGAGATGCTGCGTTTGTCAACCAGCCGAACTGCAGCAATGATACGGGTATGACCCTCAAGAACATGCCAGCACCATGACAACCCCTCGTGCCCAAAACGTGCACATTGCAGCGATTATCGGGTCAGTTGTACTGTTGGTCGTTGCGCCATCGTTGACCAGAATGCGCGGTTTGGCATCGCTAGTTAAGGTAAAAATACCCGTTGAAGAGGATGGCACATGAAGTCTCTTCGAACTTTAATTGAAGACTCTTGCGCCATGCTAGTCCCTTGTGCAGCAGCCAGAGGTTGGGTGTTGCCGCTGCCTTGTGGCTGTGGTTTCTGGTGCCGGAGACCTGCAGAGACATTCGAGACGGAGCTGTCCAGAAAGACGGCAAGGACGGACGAGTCAAAAGGTTGGGTCAAGATGGTCTTGGCATGGGGAACAACCTGCCACCTGTGAGATCTGTTCAGATATAAGACAGGAGAGCCTCCTGAACGAGTCGGACAGGCAAAACCTCGATCTGAATGCTCGTGCAGATCTTGGGACCACTGATGGCGAGCCTGTCTCGCCTGTCTCACCCACTGCTGGCGAAGCCGTCTGCACCTAAGCTCGTTCACTAGCTGCTAGCTGGCAAAAAGGTGTGTGCCGTCGGTGGCCGTCCGGTCCGCGCGATCGAGCCACGTGTTCTAGCAAGCTTCAGATACTCCAGATCGAATACTCCAGATAATCCGTACAAGAATCTCCTTGCGATCGGAGAGTCTGGCCGCCGACCCGACTGGCTGTTGAATTACCTCGTACGAAAGTCGGCCAGGAGCTCTGTGAAATACAAGCAAGAGCTAGAGAAGATCTGCATAGTGCTGTGTCAAGCCACGGCCTGAGTGACACCTCGGAGTCGCCACTGGACAAGATCCGAAAACCTGCAATAGCTCGCTGTGGCCTAGGCAGAGACCCAGGGAAGTTACAGACCGCGCTGGAGGCAGCACAAGGCGTGCTGCTGGATGTGGAGGCTGGAGCAGCTCCAGAGGAAGCCGTGGACATGTCTCGATATGGTAGTGAGGTACAGTGGGGCCAGGGCGAGCTCACCAAAATCTCCCCCGAAGCAGTGGCTTGGCTAGCAAAAGAGGTGTATAGCTTTTTTTCCCCTAAAGTAGCTGATTGGTGCTTGAATGCGCATCGGCTGCAGGCTCCAGCAGCTGGAATCGCGCACGTGCTGCTGGGAATGCACTTTTAGCATCATGATTGGTTCCATCAAAGAGAAAGGCTAGGCGAGGTACGCTGTAACAGGTCAATCGGTCATGCTTCTTCGGTAACGATCAGCTCTTTCTGCCTCAGCCTTTTCGCGGCTAGAAGGTTCTACAATGCACAGCACGGTTTTCCTTGTCCGCGCAGATTTCGCTGCTTTCGCTGAGGAAGCCGAACAAGGCGACCAGGTTTGTGGACGTGTCAGACGCCACAGCGGGCCATCCTTTGAGTGTTCCAGGAGGCAACCAGGGGGATTCATGTGAGGTATTCCTTTCTTGCGTGACTTGCGACTGAGAAACACGAGAAAATGCCTGCTGCAAACCATACTCACTGGCCCGGGGTCCAGGCAAAAGAGATTGGGACGATGAAGACACGGAGGTGTTCCTCGTCGTGCCAATCTGCCCGTGGTTAGGGGCGGCTTCGTTTTCCGAGTGTCAACATAGGAACAAGTGACTGAGGCTGCGAGATATAGTACCAGCGGCCCGCACTGTGCCGCCGAGCAAGACGGGAATCAACGGCTGGGTCAGCGAAGGGGAAGGCGCAGTACCCGAAGGTCAAACAGAAGTCCGGAAGACGCTTCTTCAGCATCTCGCCTGCAAAGTACCATGCTCCCGTAGTCGCCACACACAGCCGACATGCGTATGAGGCGAGCTGCAAGCTATTTCAACTGCTTCTCGACTGATGATGACGAGGCGTCGACGTTCGACATGCCTCAGACATGGCAGCCACAAGAAACGGCCATTGTCCGTTCCCACGCAGGACAAACGCAGGAAGATGAGGAGGGGCACGCTGTACCACGCGCAGGTAGAAGAGCAGGACTGCAGAGCATGCACAGCACCTGTGCGTCAGGCTGATGCGCTATGACCGCTGTGACACGCGATACATTCTGCAATGCATATTGTCGAACTGCTGCTCTCTGTTTCGACAAGCAGAGTGGATTGCAGGAAGTGAAGCTGGACGAAGAGGTGGGCATGGGCATGACCTATTCATGCCACGTGAACATCCTCCATTTGGCCAGAGTCATAAAGGCCAACATTCTAGAAGCGTTGCAGTATGTTGCAGTTTAACCCTGAGAGGGTATGCTCTGAGAACTTGGGGAAGGACATTAGCAAAATCAACACCCACACCCACACACATGGTGCATTCCTGCGATGCACACCCCAATGTTGACAATTTCTCGCAGAATTTTTCGAGGCCTTGATTGACAACTGTAAGTGATTGATAGAAGGATTCGCCCTAGTTATTCCCTGCACTGTGGAGCTGTAGTAGCACCCTGCCCCCCGCCCAAAGGAGGATGAATAGTGCGGGTTGAAGGTTTCGGCTCATGTGTTTTCTTATATCTGATTGCGGGGGCAAACAGTGTAGCACCTCGGTGTGCGCACCGGCGCCCCGACGCACCGGACGCCACAGCCCGGCGCATGCGCACCGCGCACCGGCCCGCACCGGCGCACCGGCCCGCACC